TTAAAAGTGTTTCTTAGTTTTGTAGTTTTCTGAAGTTTGAATTTTATTGAAACAGAAAGAAAGGTCACTGAAGTATTGGGTAAGTGCTTCTAAACTCTGCCGTGAAGTCGGGCCGATGTTCTGCAGTTGCGGGTCTACGTTACCGCAGAAGATTGACGGACAAACCTCTCCAGCCTGAATAAAGGTTCAAGTCTGACCTCCTTCCCAGAGAAACTTCCATCCAGAACCGCGGTTCACACAGTCCCGGGGCCAGCAGTTTCATCAGACTAACATCACACATGGACAGAGTTCTGTTACTGCTAACACGGCGAGCGCGCGCTGCCAAACGGCGTGTCAGAACTGACAGCGGGACAAAGGATAATCACAGGTTGGCTCTTAGATTCAAAGACGTAGCTACCTGATGAGCTCCTCTTTTTTTTTTTAGAAATAAGTTGATCTGCACCACAGTGATAAAGTCTCTGCATCTGAGCCAATTCCAAAGGAATTTTAAGGATCAATGTTAGTGCTGACATTCTGGTTCAATACTTCTACTTACTGGATGACAATGATTACCTTTAATGAGCCGTGCACAAACTGAATCTCTACTATAGTACCAGTACAAATGAGTACCGCATGTGTTCGGCCTGAAAGACACAGCGGTTTTCAATGAACGGCCATTCAAGCCCTCGTCCGGTGTCCTCCATTTGAGTCCACCAGCCGGAGGTTTGGAGAACGTGTGCCAGTATTATTGACTGTATATAAGGCGACGACAGAACGATCCTGAGAGAAGAAAAAAAAATGGTGGTTTTCAAATCATTCTGAGTATGTGGAAAATCCCAGACTCCGTTTGGTGAGTTGACTGAGAAACATCTCTGTTTTATCCCCGTGGTCTCAGTCGGTGATTACAAGTGATCTTTAGTGAAACGGGATATCTTTGTTTGTTTACAATAACTTGTGAAATGAGGCTGGACGTTGAAGACGACTCAGGTGATTATCAAATTAGCTCATTAGAAACTGAACAGCAGAAGACACTTAACTCTGTCTTTTTTTTTTTTTTTTTTTTCAAAAAGGGTTTTTTTTTTAAGGATCAGCTGTGAGTCCGAGGAGGAGTCGTGAGGCGGGCGTTAGCCACCGTAGTATCCACACGGTTCATCTGGGCTCCGACACATTAACATCACCGTCACTCGTCACCTGCGCCCTGTGCCCAGACAGCTCCGGTGTCGGGCAGCATTCAGAGGAAAAGTCAGGTCATGTGCCGCCTGAACCTCTGCTTCAATTAGCTAAGCGCTGCATGGCTCTGCTTTATGGTTTTGAAATGATCTCTCTCTACGTGTGACATTAAAACTCACCCAGAAAATGTTGTTTTTTAATGACTTATTAACAGTTTGGAGGACTGATCATTTTTTCTTCCATTTTTGGACCTTGGATGAAGAATATCAGCTGCTTCCACTGAATTCTGTCTTCTGTTGTGTGACTCCCCTCATCAGAACACGTCAGTAGCATCACGCTCTCTTATGAAACATGATCCTTGGATTGTAAATTCGGGCAGATTTAGCAGAAGTTTGGCCTCGAAAGACCGTGAAATGATTTCACAACTTTTTTTTCCTCATCCCATATTTTGGAACATGTAGCAAAAACCACCAATTTATCAACAATAACACGTAAAAAATGTTCTTTTCTCTGATCTTGAGCCTGTAGAAAAATACAAAACTGCAGTTTTTATTGCATGTTTTTTTTTAAATGTTGCCTTTAAGTCTATGTTTACGCAGCTACATCATCATTTTTAATTAGCTTTTGTTATGATGAAACATGATTTTGCTAAAACATATAAAAAAGTGATTTTAAATGTTTATAATTGTTTGGAAATTCTAATTAAAATAAGTACGGATGTTCTTAAGAAGAACAAAAATGTTTTAAGAAATTAATCCCAATTTAGACTAATTTGGATTATGACACAAATTAGCACCAAGGTTGATTCTCAAATATACAGCACCAAATAAAACTGTGAGATTTGTAAATATAAAATATTTGCTCGGTCACAGTCCCTTCTACAACATGGAGGGCAGCCAAAAAACAAACAAACAAAAAAAAAAAGCTGCTCTGTCACAGTCCCTTCTACAACATGGACGGCAGCCAAAAAACAAACAAACAAAAAAATAAAAACCAATATGAAAGTCTAGGGCCATGTCAGGGCTACAGCGCCTGGATATATTTTTAATATGTACGTAGACACAGGGATCTAAAAACAACAAGTGAATTAGCCATGAAACACAACAGGATATTGCAGAAAGATTAGGATGTTTCCTTTTTGCCTTTGTGTCGGCCTACTCTGTACAACTGCCCCGGGCCGTCTTCAGTTAGAACAAAAAAAAAAAAAAAAATTTATCAGGTTGAATATTAACATCAAAAATGTATTATTGTTCTGGTTCACACCAGTGCCGTATTTAGACATTTGGTTTATCGATGTTTTGAGGACTGGCTGGAATCTGCTGCTGGAAAAATACTGAAGGGATTAACCTTGGTTTTTGTCCTAAAACAGAATGTCTCATCTGTTTCCTCCATATAAATACCTCGAATTCTTAAATGTCTTTGTCTATTGCACGAGCAGGGAAAGATATGTGTGCAACAAGCCAAAGAGCACACAGGCTGAGACAAAAGAAAATAAAGAGCTCGGGATGGAAACGCACGAGACACGTGCACGCTCCTCCAGGCTCACGCACCCACGCTGGTTTTCCTATACGTAGCGCGCACTTAAATGAGTTTAGACCCTGTGCAAACACAAACACACACGATGAGAGAAGGTTTATTTTGTCCAGTCCTCCCAGTTTATCTGCACAAAGTCCCAAAACCAACACACGTCCAATCAGCAGGGACTGGACGAGTTCAAGCTGGAAAACATTTCACGTCGATGTTTAGGTTTTGAACGGGAGTGTTACAACCTCGCAAACTGTATACAGAATCAATACTTCCTATTGTGAGAGTCGGGGGGCGCTATACTGTGTTAGTGTGTGTGTGTTCAGAGTTCAGAGGCTCGTCATCGGCCCACACTGAGCCAAACTGTTCCCGTGCTTACGTATGGCACAGATCACCAAACTCACTCACTCACATTAGCACATTGTTTCCCAAAGTCTGGGTCGCGACCCTCAGGTGGGTCGTCTCGCATCATGTTTCCCAGGAGTTCAGGGTCATCACAACACCTCTCTGTATCCAACCTCAAAATAGCTGCCAGTTTAAAAGTTCCACCTGTGATGATGTTTGTTTTTTTTTTTAAATAGTATATAATTAATTACAGCCTGTTTTTAACTTAATCTCATTACCAACGTTTTGTATCATTTGTAATCTTTTTTTATTGACTATTTTGCTCGCTCTATTGAATGTTGGTTGTGAATGTTGAATTGTTTCTCATTCATGTTCAGTAATGGTCAAGTAAACCTTTATTGACTCGGGTTGAGAAGTGAGAAGGTTTGTGACCAGAAAAAAAAGTTTTTGTATTGAATGTTGATTGTTTCTCATTCATGTTCAGTAATGGTCAAGTAAACCTTTATTGACTTGGGTTGAGAAGTGAGAAGGTTTGTGACCAGAAAAAAAAGTTTGGGAAACACTGCAATAGCAGTGACACTTTTTTTTTTTTTTTTTTTTTTTATTTAAAAACTTTTCTGAAAAGACACACAGCCTAACCCTAACCCTCAATGAGAATCCACACGTAGAATCACACACATCACACGTGTCAAACTCACCTCAGTCTCATCTGTATCGAAAAACATTAATTCTTTATCAGGTTAACAAACTCGGCTGCACGGACTTAATTAAATGCTTTTTTTGAGCTCCTTCAGGCCATAAAAAAATGACTTGGTGGGCCACATTTGGGCCCCGGGCCTTGAGTTTGACACGTGTGTATTAGATAAACCAGAGCAGATTTAAAACTTCTTCTAAATCGCTGTCCGTTAAATTTAAACTTCCTTTTTCCACAGTCGTCTCTTCATCCACATTTCAAAGCCACCGTTGTACATGTTACGTTTAAAAATAAACTCTATTTTTTTTTGTTAAGGGAAAAAAAAGTCTTGAGATAAAACAGGTGCTGTAACAATATTGCAGACTCTGTTTTTCAGTAATTAGGATTTGGACGAGTTCCTGCACTGGAGCACAGCACTTCTGACAGGGGCTTTTGGTAAAGCCACGAATTGAGCAAGACTAGCACATGTTAGCGGCGCTCCCTCGGCGGCTCCCTTCTTCTCCCCGACTACTACATTTCTGCTCATGTTTGGCTTGGACATAAAGCCCATTTCACTTAATACTTGTGGGACAGCTAAACAGTTAAAGCTCCCATTTAAGTGGATCAAGTGTAGGCATTGTTTGGTTATGTTAACCATATGTGTTGGCTTGTCATGATCTGAATCCCGGCTCAAAAACAGAGTGCTCGTGAAAATAAACACCGCTCTGCCCTACACAAATTGTGGACTAATTGTGTATTTGGACTAAGTCATTCTTACAGTCGTACAGAGGCTTTTTCCATTTGCTAAGGAGGAGGACGAGGGGGGAAACGACAGCTTGACATTGATTAGTGTGTTGACTTACCTGCAAAAGAATCTATTTACACTAACAAGGTGGCGCTACATTGACAGCAGCTCAGCTGGATCTTTTTTTTTCTTTTCTTCTTTTTCATGTCTTCCACTAATTATAGAAATTACAATCTTGACTGGATTTTTACCAAAACTAAATAAAAGATTCTGTTGAAAGCAATCAGCAATGAAGCAAGTCAGGTCTGTGTCTTGTTGAGGGAAAAAAAAATCTGTTACTTTGCGAGGCCTGTTCTCATGTTTGCGTCAAACAAAAACACACATTTGTTTACAGCTGGTTGCAATTAGAGGACAAACTGGAGTCATATTAAAACCATAAATTCAACTGAATGTTTTCAGAAAGAAGTGGAAATTAGTAGGAAAAGCTCCCTGCAAGTGGATGTTTAATGACGCTGGATGTGTTGTGAACACAGGGAACTGACCCCTGATTTTTTTTTTTCTTACCATACACTTGTTGGGTTTCTCTCCAGAGTGGACCCTCATGTGAATCAGCAGCTTGTAGCGTGCGTTGAACGGCTTGTATCGGCGAATGCAGCCGGCCCAGAAACAGGTGAAGTCCTCACCTTTGCGTTGGTCAATGTGAACCTTCTCAATGTGCCTCACTAGCTCCTCCTGCTGTTCGTACGCAGCGCTGCAGTCAATCCAGCGGCAGACCTGTTTGTCACCTAGTGGTCCAATACACTCGTCCTGTTCTGGGGCCGCGTGGGACCCGGACGAGCCGCCGTTTGTCTGTTTTTGTCCCAGGGCGGAGGCCGGCGCTGATGGTTGGCTCAGGTTGTGCAGGAGCCCCCCAGGGCCCGGCCCCACATATTGATGCAGATGATAGGGTGGAGGCATGGCAGGTCGAGGAGGGTGGTGGAGGTGATGAAGGTGCCCACTGTGGCTACTGAGATGAGGGTGATAGTGTTGCTGAAAGAGTTCATCTTCACTGGGAGAGAAGTCGTCCAGAGGCTCCTGCTTGAGGACAGCTCTGGATTTTCTGCTTTCATCCAGGAGAGCCCTGGCTTCAGCTCCTGAGGGCAGCGTCCCAGACATCAGAGGCCCAGTCATCAGGAGGCCAAGTCCGTCGGAGCCTCCCACTCCACCCCCGGCGATCCCTCCGGCCCCACGCCCCTGCAGCATGGAGCCCGGCTCCTCACACGGCCCCTGGCTCTGCCCTTGGCCCTGCTCCGGCTCCACTGATGACACGGAGGAGGAGGAGGAGGACGCGGTGGAGGACGCAGATAAAAGACAGGAGGCAGGCGATGACAGCTGACAGCTCTCCTGTACCGCGGCCTGCTGGGGGCTGCTGTGCGCTTGGGGCCTCTGATGGACTTCCTGTGCGCAGGAATTAGAGGGTGGGGATGTAGAAGAGGTGGAGGAAGAGGAGGAGGAGGAGAAGCCGGCACTGCTAGTATGGCTGGGTGAGGTAGTAGTACGGGAGCTCT